AACGGACGAGGAAGTGAACGTGGCGGGCGATGGAACCCGTAGCCCGCCCCTCCCTTATCGGGTTTAGAAGAGAAGAGAGGTGATCCCAAGGTTCTTGCCCCGGGCGAGTTGATTGGCAAGGTCAGATTGAGGAGAAAGTTAGTGTGATAGAAAGTAGATGAAAAGGGTGTTGCGCGGTGGAGTCGGGAAGGGGGGCACTTACCTTCGGAGGATGGCGGTGCGGGATGAACTGAAAGACGAGCTACGGTGTTGAATCACACACGTGAGTAGGTAGAAACTCTGACGCTGTATTCGCACCCCCGCTTCTGTCATTTGGAGGTGGGCGTGGTAACGTGAAGTATTTGGTTGTGTATCAGTCCATACTGTAGTAGGAGGTTATGCATCCACCTGGCCGAGATGTCGGCCATGATTACTGACAAATAGGCGCAGGCGCAGTTGGTGGTTGGTGCTTCCAGAACTGGAGTACTGCCTGTCGGAGTGAGGTTAAGGTTGTATCCCTCAAGTAGACATATCTGTGGTACGGGCCATGCAGTCGCCGTTGAAACAGATCTCCGACGAACGGACTTACCAATTATCCTAGGAGCCAGGCTTGTTTTTTGCTGCCAGCATCTGGCCTAGGCTATGGTTGAGCTTGTTGAAAGCCTGCTGCTGTGCAGGTCGCTACTCGTTTCAATTGTGTAGTGAGCTACCGCGGGCTGACTGTGTTGTTCTGAGTATGGCTGTTTGGGGACCGTATGACTGCAGCCTCGCTACTGGTTGTCGCGGGTTGCCGCAAGTTGTTTCGGGCTAGCTGCTGCGACCAGCACCCAACGTACTAAAGTGCTCACGAATTGCTGAACAGCACGGCGGAGTGGTGAAGTTTGCACCTTATGCATCTGCAGCGCCTTACAGCTGCACGCGGGTGACGGACGTATGACGATCCATGGAGATTCCGTGGAGTGTGAAGGGGCTTCAGGCTGCTGTGTAGCAGCGACTGAAAGAGGTGTTGAGGCTGGGGAGTGTGGCCAGAGGTTGTGAAGGGGGTTCTTGCTGCAATGTGGGGAATTGTCTGAAGCTCGACTACAGCAGGTTGACTTCAGTCCTGACCAAGCTGTTACAATTTGGCCATTATTGCGGTGCCCTCAGGCGATCCAAGATTACAAGGCCCTCTCTTGCGAGACTGAGAGCACCGTTCTTGGATCTGAGAGTCTCAAATCTATCTCTTTCTGCCCTTCTAAGTCTCAGTCTAGTCCTTGGCTACGAGAGGAAGGCGGCAGGCGGGATTGCAACTCGTAGGTCCGCGTCAAGGCTCTGTGGGGTGTCCACCCACCGATTGCGGGAGCTCTGCCGAAACTCAGGAGGAGTTCTGGAGGCAGGGAATCGTCAGGTAAACCATTTCCATTTGTACAACCTATTACCACTCATGTTTGTTTATCCCCCTGCAGTATGACTGTTGTATGCATGAGGCTGTCCCTATGGTTTTTGCTTTCTCTTCAGGACCCAATCAGACTGAATGGAAGGAACGTGTGAGAGTGAAGCCTAAGTTTCTTCTTTATTTTGGTTGAAAGCAGACAAAGGGATAAATTGGGGGAAGGTGGGAGGAAGGTAGTCTTGCATGCGTTTGGAAGGGTCAATCAAAGCCTGAGCATTGTTTCCATGGTGAATGGCTCAGGGCTGTGTTTATTTGACTGTTTTCTGAAGGACCAGGCATTGTTTCCATGGTGAATGGTTTGGTTGCTGTATTTATTTAGTTGTTTTCTGGGGAGCCAGGCATTGTTTCCATGGTGAATGGTCTGGCTGCTCTAGTTAACTCTGGGGATTTGCCTGAATGAAGGAGTTTAAGTTTTTGTTTATTCTGAGGGAGGATTTCTGGTCTAAGGCTAAGCATTGTTTCCATGGTGAATGGTTTAGCCTAAAAACCACGCATATAAGTTAAACTGAGTATAAAAGGAAAATACTTTATATATATTTGCATCTGAACTGGCAGCTGGGCATTGTTTCCATGGTGAATGGTCCAGCGTTAAGCCATATCATCAAGAAGAGAAAGGGAAAAATACGAAGTATAAATGGAAATAATATGGGCAAGTTGAACATTGTTTCCATGACGAATGGTTCAGTCCCCTGCTCATATTTGCTTTCCTTTTTTGAAAACAAAGTCAGAAAAATACTAAATTTTTGGATATTAAATGGTTCAGGGCGGCTAGGCATTGTTTCCATGGCGAATGGCTTAGTCATATGCCCAAAAGAAGAGAGAAGTAGTTGTGCAACCTGTTCGTGTATATCTTAAAGGCAAGTTGGGCATTGTTTCCATGGCGAATGGTCCAGCTCTATGTCTTATGTAAGAGGAAAATAAGGGTTTAAGGACTTAAAAGATTCATAAACTATCTATATGGAATGAACTTGTGCTGGTGAGAGTACTTACCTTTGTGGTTTGGCTTGCATGTGACTGAGTGAGGCCATTACCTAGTCTGAGTTTCAGGTTGATAGGTAGTTGCTTTAGTTGCTCGCCATGTGCTAGAGTCATAGGACTTAGTGTCAATTCCTGCATTTTATGTAGCGACTTTTTATACTTAGATCAATTCTTGCATTTTCTGAGATCTTTTCTTATATTTGGCTTTGTATAAATCTTGGCAAGCTACTTTCTCTACGGGAAGCGCTGCCGAAATTTCTACAAATCCAAGGAGTTAGTTGAATTTTGACTTGTCAAAAGTTCAGCTTTGTCTTTTTCTCATATCTGACTTAGTTAAAGTCTGGGAAGTCTTCTTTTCTAAAGGGAGTGCTGCCCAAATTTTTGCTAATTCAGGGAGTTAGACAAAATTGAACTTTGGGAAGTCAAAGTTATTCTCAAATTCTGAACTTGGCCTTGTATAAATTTTGGAAAAACACTTTTCTAGAGGGAGTGTTGCCGAAATTTTTGCAAAACTAAGGAGTTAGTTGAATCTTGTCTAAGTTGAACTCAGGTTGTCTTTTAAGTTCACATCTGACTAAGTATAAATCTGGGAAGTCTCCCTTTCTAAAAGCGAATGCTGCCAAAATTTCTACCAATTCAGAGAGTTAGACAGATTTTGGTTTTCCAGAGTTAGAGATTATTTCTGCTTTTATATAAGGACTAATATAAATTCTGGAAAGGCACTTTTCCTACGGGAAGCGCTGCTGAAATTTTCTTAGTTTAAAGGAGTTAGATTATATTTTGACAGGTGACGATTCTGGCGGTCCACCCTGAATAGGGGAGATTCTGCCATTAGTCTACCTTTGCTTTGGGCACTGACTTAGGGGTAGGTTTGGACTTAGTTGGCAGGTAGCTTTGAGTGAGAATGTGCTATGGAGGTTTATCCCCCATATGCTGATGATTTAGCTTGGGCATTTGACCTATCTTGTGTTACAGGTCCTTTGGGGTGTCTGATTCAAGATCAGGACTAGATTCAGCCTGATCCCTTGAGGATCATCTTCTGTTATCACAGATAACAGGTCGGTTGCCGATTCGTCGGCTTACGATTCAACTCCAACTCACTCCTGCCACTCAACCTAAAGACTTTAGCCTTGTGATTGAACTGTTTTATTGTGTTTTCACCGGGACTTTATTGAATGGTCATCCAACAAAAGTAATGAGTATTTTTTTAAGAGTTGCACGAGTGAGGCTTGTATGGCTAAAGCGAGGGGTATGAGTGCAAGGAATGGTTGAAGTTGACCCCGTGTAGTGCGTGGACTTCTGGATGAATCTTTGATGTGATTGCAAGTGCGTTTGTGGTTCGGACTCTGGATGTGATTGCATGCGATTACATACATATATGGTTGAGAGGAGTCCCACTGTGACTGTGAGAAGTGATCGTCCTGTATAAATAAACCTTATATATATATATATATATTTATATGTGTCTTGGGTGTGTGCGCGGCTTACTGAGATCATGCGCAAGGGTTAACCAGGTTATGATGTGAGAGAAAATGGAGATCTCCTTTTATCCTTTTGCTTCTTAGAGATTTTCATGGTCGGACGTTGGTCCTGGGCCGGGATTTAAGGTCCTTGTCCAGGACATCCCAAGCCCTAGACTCTGCAGGGAACCCGTGCAAAGCCTATTTGTTCCACCCTGCACAGAGTGCAGAAGGGTGTGTGGTTTTCAACCGCGCTTGGCGGTTGTCTAGCGTCGAGATATTAACCCTCAAGGCGCGTGTCAGCCGACACTTGAGTGTCGAATGCGACCCTCGAGATTAACGAGGACCGCACGATTATGGGCACTACATAGTACGTCATCATTGCGACTGCTTGCGTACGCCTGCATTGCGAGTCGATATGAGTAGGCACTGCGTCCGGGCGGTTTTATACTAAGTCTCACGCGCGACGCCTATCCGATTTCCGCATCGGAAAGTTATGGGTTGGCTACCGAGGGGCTAGGTGCGTTGTCGCGTTGCTTGTGTTGTGTCGTTTCGTATGTATGCGTGAGTGTGTTTTATTTTTTGTGCTCGTAAAGTGGTGTGCGCGTGGTGTGTGGGATGCGTCCTAGTCGACCGACGACGAGTCGCGCTTGGGACCTCAGCCCCCTAAGATGTCGGTTCGCGTGCGGGTCCGATAGAGGCGTATTRCCGCGCGTACCCCCTATGCTACAGCGCACGAGAAACGCCCTCGGCTGGTCCACCTCTGCGATTGCAACTGATTAGCTTTCGTACTGTGGACTGGTAGCTCGGCGGGGATACGCCCACCGAAAGGAGGTGACAGCTCCCGTAAGGTGGAGGTAAGTTGTGCCTCGC